TGCGGCCATGCAAGCTTAAAGGCAAAGTTCAGAGCACCGGCAAGCCAGCGGAGGCTTGCGGTGGCTCAGGGAACTTTATCCCCTCCATCGCCAGGAGGCCTTGGCTGGGGGCCACCCTGGGGTTTAGAAAATTAAAAACAACCAACCCCGTGCTCTGCTCTCCCTTTGATTAGGCAGAGCTTTTCGGGAGAGGAGGCAGCTCGACCCAGCCCCCTTCTTCCCCAGCTCTCCGCCGGCTCAGCTGGGCTTTAGCTGCTCCCTTCACATCCCCCCCCCACCCCCCCCGTGGAGATTTAGGGGGAAGCCCAGGGACCGAGACGCTGCTGTGTCCCCTCCCGGGGATGCAAACATCCCTGCTTCCTCCTGGGGTAAATCAAAGGGCTGGCTCCTTACTGGTGTAAATCAACTGAGCCCAATCCTTTGCCCAGATCTTGCAGATTTATTTGGTTTTGCCCCTATCCAGTGCGACTTGGGAGGGGTGGGAACAGGTAAGGAAAGTTTGGGTTTGGTGCAAGCTTGGGGACAAGGGTCCCCGGTTTGGGGATGCCACCACCAGAGCACCGTCCCTGCAGCCCCTCGGAGATGGTCGGATCCTGCCCAGGGCTCACACAGCAAGTGCCGTGGGTGCAGAGCGACAGTCCCCCGGCAGCGGAAAACAGCCCAGAGGAGGTGGGAAAGGGATGCAAAATGTCTTGGGGTACAAACTGGGGGATGATTTGGCAGGAGTAACCAGCCCCCCTGGGTGCAGGCAGCTTTGCTCCTTGGCCAGCACGTCCTTCCCACCAGCTACACAGAGTCCAGGAGACAGCAGCTTACGGGAAAAGAATATGATCTGGGCAAATACACACACGGTCCACATGTGACAGCAAGTGGAGCAAAGGAAAATTAATCAAGGTTGAAGATTTAGCTTAATTTTTAGCCAAAACCTTGTGGTAATGCGGAGAAAAATGACCTGCAGGTTTCTTTCTCCCTTCCCTGGGATTGTTTTTAAATGAGAAATGCTGCTGTTGGATCCCAAAGGTGCTTCCTGGGAAAGACGAGGGACTGGCAAAAGGGTTAGTAAAGAGGGAAGAGGCTGAAATTCAGAGTCACAGGGTTTGGGGTTTTTTTCCCCTCCTAGACAAAAATATTCCGGCGATGTTCATCCTGATCTTAGCAAAGTGATCATTATATAGATGAGCACCAGCCTTGGAAAGGCTTTGCTTCTCCCAAAACATCTCAAGGCACTCTAATGCCACCCCCCCCACCCCCCCCCCCCAATTGATATTCCAGCAGTTCGACATTTTCAACTCAAAAATGGCTGTTGGGAAACCGGCCCCAAGCCTTGGATGTGCGGTTGCCCCTTGGCCCTGATGGCACCTACCCCTCGCCGAGGTTTGCTGCCCCCTTCTCAGGCAGCCGGGACCGGGCTGGGGAGAAGCCCTGCAAGGTGCAGGTGAACCAGGAGCTCGGTGGCATCCCCGGCTGCTGCTTGTGCTGGATCAGCACGCAGATGGGATGGTTTTCCTTCTCCTTCCACCTCTGGCAGTCCCGAGCAGCAGCTGCAGGGTGCAGAGACCCTCTGACACCACAAGCCCATCTCTATGTGCATCCTCAGCCTCTCTGCCACATCAGGTCTCTCCCGAATCCCTTTTCTGCTCCTGGAGAAGTATCCTCTCCTTGCATGCGCTGATGTCCTGAGCCTGTTTTATCTTGTGACACCAGATCAGGTGCTGGAGCACAGGGATTCAGGTACAAGCCAGCAGCCACGAGCAAATCACTGCCTCTCACTGCACCCATGGGGACCCTTCCCTCAAGAAAAAGACTTTTAAAGGCAGGAACGGGGCTAAGGACAGCAGGAACCCACCTTTGGCCAAGACACCCAGCTCTCATCATTACCACACAGCTTTCCAGACCCAAACCTTGAGCTCATTACACGGGCAGAGCTCCAGCCGTCAGAGGCCACCTTTCATTTCACAGAACAAAGATCCACAGGCTGCCAAAACCAATAGACCTCACACCGTCCTATGAATTGACCTCACTCCCAACAGAGCCACGGAAATTGGTGCTTAGTTTGGGGTTGGGGGGCAAGGGAGGGTCTCAGCCCCAGGTTCGGGCTGTGCCTGGTGCCACGTTCCCACGATGGAGGTGGCACCTCCAGACCTGCTGCACGTGCGCCTCTGGTACAGCTGGGAAAACGCTGCATGAGTGAACTGTGCCTTAGATTAGATTATGGGAAAATTAGTCTTTGATGATGCTGTCATTAGCGGTGGCTCTGTAATGTGTTTGCACAAGGGCGGGAAGAAAATTAAGCAGGCTAGTTAAGGATGAAATAGCTCCCATTTCCCCGCATTACAGACTGGCAGGGTTTTAACTGAGGCAGAGGAAACTTTCGGAAGCATTTGGGAGCTGAGGACCAGGGTGTGATCCTTCACACAGGCACCGGTTTGATCACCGTGATTGCTCCCGCTGTTGTGCCCCAGGGAAGCAGGGTCCAGCTCAGTGGCACAGGGTCCCCACCACGGTTTGGGGGTGCAAGGGGAGGCTGGAGAGAGCTGCACGTAATCATGGTGGCGACATCTCTAGATGAGACTAACAGCCCAGATTGCCACATTTTTGTAGGTGAAACAGCCCAGAGCAGCATCACGCACTCAATCCAAGGCATCCCTGGGATCTGGGTGGGGAGAAACCACCTTGCTCCAACGCAGCTCTGCTTTGGGAGACCATCGAGTGGTCTCCAGCCATCAGGGGAAAAACCCCACCAATTTCTCCAACAGCATTAAAAGCATTTACACTCTCAGCCCTCTCAAGGAAGCAATCCAGCCATCAGCATATCCGAGCACCCTGGAGACATTAGCACTCTTCCCGACAGGCTTGACTGGCAGGGGAATGACACAAGAGCACAACCCCCGTTTCACCAGCACAAGCTTAGCACCACACAGATGCCCTTTTCTGCTTTAAACCCAACTCAGTGCCCAAAACCCTCTGAATTATGACCCATTCCCCTCCCAGCCTCATCTTGACCTCCGCAGCATCCTCACCACGGCAGGAAGTTAAATGCATCAGCCAGGGTTGCGTGTGGGATCGGTACCTCAATATTCAACCTGTATTTTTCTTTCCCGAATAGAAACCAAGGAAGGACCAGGGGATACAAACAGCCTCCCTGGGAGGATCAGGGAGGTGTGGAAGACCAGGATTTATTTTTAATGAGTGCATCCATGGCCCATGTATCCTGCCAAAGGAATTCTTGGAGGCAGTGATTTTGGTACAGGTCTTGGCTGGATGCTTCACAGGTCCCTGGGCCGCTCCCATACCAGAAAAAAAAAAAAGCAAAAGTCTTATGCCCCTGGGTCTCAGATGCTGTTTTATCCCCCCAACCCACTCCCCCCAAGGATAATCATGTTGTTCCAAGCTTGCACCAGCGTGAAGAGACTGGAATGTGGCTTTTTTATACCGAGTGCGGAGCTGTTTGTGAGAAGGGCCATCTGCTAGCCCGGCTCCGGCTCACGTTTCACTGGAAGCATCCCGAAAGCTGTGAGAACGTGCTATTCTCAGTGGCGATGGGGGAATGAGATATGACAGGGCAGGGGGCTCCTGGTGAGGATCAGACTGTGCCATTCCAGCTCCTGCCTACCCCAGACCATCAAGCCCCTTGATGTCAGTCCTGAAATATCCATGGTGGGACTAACCTCCGGATGCTCAGCTGGCTCGGCAGCAGGTTTAGCAGGCAGGGAGCTCAATTTCAGTTGCACCAGCCAGAAACACGCACTCCTGTGCGGGAAAGAGCAGCCCGTGTAATTCTGAGCTGGAGGAAAGCAAACCTGGACCAAAAGCCCCTTTGCAGCCAGCTTTGACTCAGGACGTCACCCCTGAACGGCTCCTGCCATGCCTGCAGGCACCCCGCCAGCCCCAGTTTGCCTTTTGCAGCTCATCCAGGACCCTGGGGACATCCCCAGCCCTCAGGGCAGCAGGGAGATCCCAGCTCCAGGTCAGACCCTTGGTGCCCAAAGCCCAGCGAGCTCCCAGGCAGGCTGTGGATGCACATCTCCAAGCTGCACATGCAGAGAACCATTTCAACTGCTTGTTTTGTAGAGACACTTCAAGTCGTGGGGTGGTTTCGGCCTCGGGCTTGTCTGTAAAGTTGCCAGGCATTAGGATTAGGTGAGTGAATGCCCTCTGTCCCTTTAGATCTAACAGCCAAGCACTGCTCCCCAGGCTCATCCCGTTCCTCTCCCTTGGTTTGCCCGACCCCGTGCCACCAGCAAGCCCAGCTAAAAACTTGCCTTAGAGACAAACCAAAATGTGGCTGCAGCCTTGGCTGCCCGATCCCATCAGCAGGAGACCCAGCACCCAGCCCATGGGTGCAGGAGGAGCAGGATTGTCCCACGGGGGTCAGCAACACATAAGAGCAGCAGGCATGGCTTGCACCGTCTTCAAAACCAGCATCTCCCGGAGGCTCTGCAACATCCAGGCTCCTTTGTGGTGGATTTCCCAAGGTAAAGGGCTCCAGAAGCCATCAAATCCCCGCTGCAGGGATGCACACACAGACACCCCTCCTCCCCCAGCACACCGTGTATGCACGCATGCATCTGTGTTGCATTGCTCAGCATCACCCTGGATATCCCGGGCCGTTTGCTGGAAGGCAGCCACCGCTTCGCATCTAGTTACCTGGTTTCCCAGCAAACAAACTGGACTTCAAAGCTCCTGTGCCCGTCGTTGCGCAGGGGCAGGAAAGCTCTCAGCATCTCCCCACGGCACCGAAGGATGTTTTTTCAGGGACGGGGATTTCTTTGCCTTTTTTGCTTCCTTTGAAAGCTGCCTGCAGAGATGTGAAGCCAACATATACGCAGAGGCACCCCCAGGCACTTTCCCTGCTGGAGAGGAGAAGAGGAGAGTGGCAGCAGAGCCAGCTTGGCTCAGAAACCTGCCCCAGGCTGCCAGGAGGGCTTGCTCCAGGGCAGAGACCTGCAAAGTCCCTGCTGTCAAGGACTGTTCCCCTCCAGATCCCATCTCTGCTCCCCATGGCGGGCAAGGCTGGGGAGCCTTGCATCCCCCTGACCCTGCAGCGCTCCCGGCTGAAGGCTGAGGAGAAGACCCTGGATTTTGAGTTTGAGGTGGTCAGCGCCCAGTTTAACCGGCGCGGCCGCTACGCCCTGCAGCTCACCGTGGAGAACCCGCTGCTGCGGGGCTCCGGCGCTGGCGTCCGGCTCCGCATCGACGGCGGGGAGGTCATCCAGAGCAGCACCGGCACCACTGACGCCATCGAGCAGAGCGACCTCAACCAGATTTACTCCTTCCAGAGGAGGAAATTCACCTTCACCCTGCCCAGAGGTAAGAGGCTGGATGCTGCGGGGGTGGGCTGACAGGGGAGGTGACCCAGGACTGCAGCTCTAGGGCAAGCATGGCCTGTCTCAGGCTTGCAGACCCCTGTACCATGCTCACAGCTTCACCCCTGCAGCAAACCCCTGAGCTGGAGTCCAAGCTGCCTGAGCTTAGTGGGGTGGATGGAGCAGGTCCAGCTTGGAGAGCCCAACACCACCAACGCTGCAAACGCCCTCCCCCGAGATCTAGATATGTCCAGGCTGGATAACCCCTTTGCTAGTGTTCACGGAGCAGAGCTACCCAGGGCTGCTGATGGATGAGCTCGGGAGATGCTCCTGGGACCACCAGCCCTCCTCCGTGACACCTCACCCGCCACCGCTCCCGGCAGGTTTCTGCAAGAACGACAAGAACCACGACGTGCGGCTCCACATCGAGGCCCTGCACTTCCCCGGGAGGGCAGAGAGGATGAGGACGAGCAGGCAGGTGGGCGAAGCCTTCTTCGCCATCTACCCCCGCACCAACCAGCCCCGGATGAAGCTCTCGGCGGGGAGGGACGAGGACTGGTACCGCTACAGCGCCGTGATGGCTTTGCTGCGGGTGGGCAGCCAGCAGCCGGCCATGCACTGCGGCCGGCTGGCCTTCACCGCGTCCCTGCACGAGCACCGGCCTCCCACCACGCTGCCCCCGGCCCCGCTGCTCTCCCCCGGCACCCAGGAGGACGCCCGGCCAGCGGCGGGCACAGCCCCGGCGTCCCTGCACATCCCCGGCCCCAGCCGCTCGCTCCGTACACCCGAGTCTGCTTACCACTCGCTGCCCACCGAGGGCAGGGCTCGCTCCCCTGAGGTAGGAGAGCCCAGATTGGGGGGAGCAGGCAACCTGTGCTCCAGCAAAACAAGAGCAGACCAGTCTGCTTAGGACAGGATTTGGCCCTGCTAGATGCCCCCGCATAAGCACCGGCTGGAATAGAGGCAAAAAGGAGACGTCTCTGTGGCTTTTACGGGGTATCTTTGCTAAACAGCACAGCCCTGCCTCAGTTTCCTCTCCCTCGCTCCTCACAATTGCTGGGTGGAAGCCAGGTGACTGTCCCCTGCCTGCCACCAAAGTTAGGGACCGTCTTTGTCTCCGACGGGAGCAAGCTGAGCCAAGCTCAAGATGCAGGCAGGGCCTTGGTGAGACGGCAACCACCCAAGCAAAGCCAGTAAAGAGGGTCTTGTAGTCAAACCATGCCCAGAACTTGAGGAAAAAATCCTCTGTGAGTTATTCACCCGGCTCCGCCCTCCCCAGCATGGTCCCACACAACGCCAACCATCCGCTACCGAGAACAAGCCCTACAGCTTGTCCCGGACCTCACCCGCAGCACCGGCAGCGGGACCAGAGCCTCCAACTCCTCTGCTTAACCCACCCAACCCCTGGCTGGTGCAGGGCAGCCCCTCCAGCAGAGACATCCACGGAGAGTGAAACCCCCCAAGAATCGCTCTGTCTTTTATTTTTTTTCCCGAGGCAGCTGGGGCTGTGGAGGAGCAATGCCTAGGGATGCATGGTGGTGGTGGGGGGGGTGTCCTCTAAGTCTAAAATAAATGTAGGGGTGGTAATGGCTGGTTTAGGATGGGGGTTTTTATTATTTCTTGCCAAAGTTCTGCCCTTGAAGGGTGAGATCCTCAGCCGAATTGTTAGAGGATGGAGCTGGGATGCAGAGGGGTCTTCCCGGGATGTGGGGGTAGGTGGTATGGGGGGTTCTGGGGGGACTGGGAAAGGGGTGTTGGAGCCCAAATCTGGGCTTTCAAATCTCTTCTCTTACTCCCAGAGGCTGCCGGCTGACCCTGCACTCAGCTCCTCCCCGGAGCTCCCCGGTGACTCAGCAGATGAGCATCCTTCCTCCTCCTCCTCCTCCTCCTCCTCCTCTTCCTCGGCTCCTGCCCCAAGGCGACCACTGAGCTGCAGCAGCTTCCACCTCTCCTCGTTGGGCTACAGCCCGGATCTGGCCTCTTCACCATCACAGGTGAGTGCAACCGGTGGAGAAGACGCCATCCTAAATTAATAACAAAATGTTTATTATTCATAGTAGCTTCCCGTTAGAGCTCTGCAGTGCTGGTGAGGAGACGGAGGGGTGCAAGGGGATGTGGCCACCTCCATCCTGTCCCTGGCTCAGCTTGGGCACCAGCACCGCTCCTGCTCCCAGGCCATCACCTTCCCAGCCTGGTCGTGGGGGATGGGGGGAAATGAGCCATCAAACTTTGCATTTCCAGTACCAAAAGGCAGCCCTGCAAGCTGGCCATCGCCAGGCAGTGGATGGTGTCACCTAGAAAATCTTAAAATGCTGACTGCGGGCATCTGGGGCTGACACATCTTAAATGTTTCATCTTGCAGCTCGAATCTAGACTTCTAAAAACTGCAGAAACCATAGGGCAGGGCTAATGCAGTCTGAGAGGCTGCGTGTCTTTCTCCTTGTTAAAAGCTGTCTAAATAAATGAAAAAGACAACCCTTACCCCAGGGGCTCCATTTCCTGCATCTCACTGTAAGAATAACACGCCCGTGGATGAAGATGTTGTCTCTGTTGCTCTCAGAGGTGTCTCATACACCTGTGAAAACATTGCTTGAGAAAGCTGAATTACAGCACCGGAGACGGGATTGATCCCGTGAACCTTCCCCAGGCACCCTCTGGGCTCTCTTCTCCTTCCAGGGAGCCCCCCCGTGTCCTCCAGCTGCGTCAGTGGGAGAGCTGGGGATGGTGGGTTTGATGGCAAGGTCTTCTGCAGCATGTGGGCCACCAGCAAACGCTGCTGGCTCAGGGAGGGGGCTGGCAGCCCTCGCTCAGCCCCCCCAGCTAAGGGCTTCTGCGGCGGAGAGGTGACAAGGACTCCCCAGGTGATGGCTCGTGTCTGGGCTGCAGTCACAGGGATGCCCTCAGTGCCTGGACATGTGCTTCGTGGTCCTGGTGACTGCGTTGGTGTGACTGGAAGGTAAAAAATTGGGCTGGCATCCCTCTCCCCCGCGGTGCGCCGTGCACGGGGTGGGGGGGTACCTGCTGCTGCCTTCGTGCCTCAGCTCCTTCCCTTGTGCAGGACAAATGTGTCGCTGACGGCTCTGGGACACTTGGTCCGTGTATTTCACAGGAGTTACGGGGTGCTCGAGCGGTGCTGAGCTGCTCAGCCCCTCTCCAGGGCAGCTCCCTGCTCCTCGTGCTGCAGGCAGGATGCTGAGCACTGCAAACCCCCAGGACCCCGGAGCAACTCCTCGCCCTTCGCAGCACTCGGCCTCCCTTGATTTTCAAGTGGATGTGCTATCCGTGCCCCGATCAGCCGCAAATTTACTGGCCAGAAACGCTTATTAGCGAGGCCTGATTGAGTTTGCTCAGCAAACGTCTAGACGGAAACTCTTTCGAGCTGCGGAAATCGATAGCAATCAGCTGGGATGCGGAGCGGGATGCGGAGCTGGGCCAGGGGCATAAGGCGAGGCATTAGCAAATGCAATTTTGCTCCTAGGCCCCTGGAGGGAATGCAATAAATCACCTGCTGCTGATGTCACCCGGCAAGTATTTGCCAGGATGGTTTTTATTTAAAAATTAAAAGCTGAGAGGCGGGGGGATGTTGGCTCCCCGCCCTCCTGGGAGGGCTGGAGGGCTGGAAAATATGTTGGAGGGTGGCTGAGCTATGGGGAGGGGGGACGGACCAGGTGGAAATAGGAGTTTTAATCTCCAAAAGAACTCCTGGGATGCTGCAGCCTGGATCCACCAAGCTGAAGCTATGGGAGCTGCTTGTCAGTCTGGAGCTCTTTTGGCTCTGGGTGGTCCAAACCCGAGGATCTCAAAGCGTCACATGTTGGTCCTGCCAGTGCATGGTGAAGGTGAACCCCAAACCGAAGTTCGAGAGCCTGAACATCTTCCTAAATTTGGGCAGGACGGGGGTGGTCAATAGTTTGGGGAGTCGGTAATGCTGGCACGTGGAGAGGGGCAAATTCGGAAGTGTGAGGGGTCCCATCGCAGGGCTGCTGCTTGGACCGGGGTCCTGAGAAATCTGGATGCCGGGGTATCGCATCCATCTGTTTGGCTTTCCCAAACAGCAAAAACATGCGGGTGCATCCCAGTGGGCGACCAGCTCCTTGACACTGCCTCCGTGCCGAGCATCCCATCCGCAGGACAGGGAGGCTGATGGATGGGTGCTGAGCTCCACCCAAAAGGCCAAGGCACGGGGATAATGATTTTCCTCATCTCCTCGCAGCCCGCAGATAATGTATTCCTAGGCACGAAGCAGGAGGCTCTGCTGGCTGTTGAAATGCCTCGCGCATGTTGCCGAGCCAGACGGCTCCCTAATTGTCCCAGGTCCCGGGCACGGCACCGAGCTGATCGATAACGTGCCATGGATGATCTCTCAGTCGCTGGGATGGCTGAGGTTGAGCCTTGGAGCTGTCAGCCCCTGGGATACCTCCTCCCCCAGCCTGGCAGGGATGGAGGAGAGGGGACCGGGCTCACCAGGAACCGTGGGGACTTCTCAGCAGAGCACAGGGCTCAGTTAAGGGATTCGGCCCCTTGGGTCAGCAGAATTCGGTCCCTTCCTCTGGGAACCATTCCCATTTCGCTTCCAGCCGGTCTGCGTGGTGCTGGGGGGTGGAAGGAGCCAGCTTTTGGAGATCTCCTTGGCAGTCGGACTTGGTCGCAAGCCCACAGAAGATGGTTTGTTTCCAGTCTCCCTGGACCAGCTGGCAGCGAGGCGCCCGTCCCAAAACAGCAATCTGTTGCTGTCAGGGTACAAGGAATCGCAGCCTTTCCGCGGCAAGCAAACGGGTTTGCACACAGCTTGCGCTCCCGCTCGCTCGCGCTTGCTCACCGGGCTGCAGGAGCGCGGGGGGGGGTATCCGGCAGCTGGGCGAGACGCAGCTGGTGCTTCCCGTGGGGATGCACACCCCATCCACGCCGCGCAACGCCAGCTGTGACTCGCCGAGCTTCAACAGGTCTGAAAAGACGGGGCCAAACCCGCTCCCGGCACCGCTTGTCGGCTGTGCTTCAGCCCTTTGGATTCCCCGGGGGAGCTCAGGAGCTTCCCCCGGCAAAGCGTGCGCCGGGGGCGGAGTGACTTGGTGTGGTGTAAATGGCAAGGACGAACAAAAACGCCCCCTTTTTTATATATAAATAATAATAAAAAAAAAGATCACCTTTATTTTTTAAGCAGGATACAGAAAGTAAAGAAGGGATGCCTCAAGCATCAAGTGTATTTCGGGCACAGGGATCTGGGGGAGTCTGAGCCACAGCTGGACTCGTTTTGTTGGTCTTTTTTTTTTTTTTTTTTGGAGGTGGGGTTCAGGTTAGGGCTTCCTTAATGCACGCAGAGGGTATCTCAGGAGTCCCTGCCCCCCCCCCAGTCAGCTGTGGATGACAGCCCGTGACCAGAATCAGCTTGCTAGCTCCGCAGCTTTTTGCTGAATGCTTCAAATCCAACCCAGCCCCGATTGCATTCCTGGCTCCACCAAGGGGCTTGGGGGGCCGGTTTGGGGACGAGACAGTGAATTTCTGTTGTTCTGCAGTGGTAGAGCGAGTGGGGCAGGGCAGGGACAGGGCAAGGGTGCTTGCTCCGGGAGCGGGGGGGCCCTCGCGGTGTGGCCCATCTCGCCGAGCGATGATGGTGGATAAAAGCTTCTGTCTCCTCCTCATCAGAGCGGCAGGGCTGGGGCAGAGGTCTGTGTTGGCAGGTGATGGATGGCGTGTGTCGCCTGCCTGTCCCCCGGCCGGCTCCTCCATCACTCAACCCAATGACAGCGGCCGTCACCGTGAGGGTGGCAGGCGTCCAGCGCTTCTCCCCAGCCTGCCGCCCCGATGGCAGGGTGAGGGGCTGGAGCCGCCTCGGCTCACTGAAAGCCCAATGAGGCTGAAAAACAAACTTTGCCGGCAGGGCTCGCCCCGGGACACGGGCGAGATGAATAACGCCGCTCCGGCGAGCAATTTGTAGGGCTTTGAAAAGCTGTCAGCCCGGGGAGGAGCACGCCTTGACGGGCTCGTCGGGGATGTCGCCTTCCTCCAGCAGTGCCCTGGCTCTCGGCATCCCTTCATCATCCCTGCTCCGTGCTGGAGGGAGCTGGGAGCAAAAGGGGACCTGAGGCAAATGGTTTTGGGGTGCGGAGCGTGCAAATACATGTTCCTAGTGATGTATTGCAAGGCAGTTATACCCCCTATCAAAACGCTGGGGAGCCGAGGCTGCTTGGTTCAAAAGTCTTGTTCTCCACATGCTTCTCCCTGCCCGGGTGGAGATCTGGCATGGAAATGGGCCAGTGCAGAGCAGCAGGTCACGTTTTCTTAGCTAAAATGGAGAAAAATCTTCTCGGATGGAGAAGACGGATCCTCAAGAGGTTTTCCAAGCTGCTTCTTGATTTGCTCGTCTGTAAAGAGCAAACTCTTTGGATGCTCGGTGGAAATGCAGGCAGGAGGAGCGGCTGTTAGCTCTAATTCCTGCAATTTAAGTCATCATGTCCCTTTAAGTGTCAAATAACTGCCTTGATGAGAAAAGCAAATGGGGTTAAAAAGAGAAAATTGCTCCATTTTAAGAGGTGGGGGGGGAGGAAATTGCACTGGTGCCACTGATAAATATAGAAAGTGTAAAACTCTCCTAATGGAGCAGACGAGGTGATGCTGGGCTGCCGGCCCATTTAATTATTTGACAGGTGAATTGGGAGTTTTCTACATAAATGGAAGGAAAATGAATTTGGCAATTTTTAGCCCAAAGGGATTCCCAGCCGGCGGCAACGTGGCTCCCCAGGGAAATCGGCTCGGAGTCGGCATCCCTGCGTGTCGATGGGCGAGAGCATCCTCCCTCCCGGCGCCCCGAAACCACCCTGTGATCTCTAATGAGCTCCCGCAGGGTCCCCTCAAGGAAACATCTTGCTTAAAAATAATAAGAAGAAGGATGTATCAAGCTCAGCCCAAATCCAAGGGAAAAAAAAAAATCCCCCTGTCCCTGCTGCTGACTGGGAAATGGGAACAGAGCAGCGGTGTCTGCCCGCAGCAATGGGGG